AAAAAAAAAAAACTTTTTGTTACAAATACAAAGTTAACCTATACATAACCTAATATACATAACCTATATAAATAATTTATAACATACTTATTAGCAAAGTGATAACTTCCTCTTCTACATGAAGTTCTTCTAATACATGACGTATATCACTCATTGTATAACGATTCCTCCGGTAACTTTTCAGGAAAATGAGAAATTTACGTCGTGACAACGCTGCAGCCGTCCTAAATCGAGTGTCGTACGACATTTGAATAACAATATGAATTATCACGCATGCTCAACGGTTCCTGCGGGATCGTCTATCTCCGCTACTCTTCGGCAATATTTGTTTATAATATCCGATCAATTTAGGTATTGATCGGATAAAATTCAGATCCGATGAAATATTGATCGGAAAAAATATTGATCGGATAAAATATTGATCGGATATCTGTACAAATGTCAACGGTTATCATCTTTCATCGGATAATATACGATCGGTTATTGCGTCACCACTCTCTTTTTATCTGATTAAGTACAATGTCCGATCTTGTCATCATTTTATCCGATCACTTCGTGCTTTTTATCCGATAAAAATTGCAATGGATATACGAAGGGTCACTAATTTTCCGATTATATTTCATCGGTAACTGCATTTCATCGGATAAAGAATCCATCATTTCATCGGATAACAAAATTATCAATCGGATACATCATTTAATCGGTTTATCCGATGGAAATTTTTCTCAGTGATTGTATTTGGTTACGTCGAATGTCTATTGAATGTGTATCCATTTTGATGACCATTTTCCATGTTGAAGGTATTTGGTGTAGTTGTCCTTAAGTGTCATAATATACACTAGGTATATGTAGGAATTCGTTGATTTTGTACGGGGTTTCTGTTTGCAACCCATTTGTCCTGAAGCTGGTACTCCTTATCAGGTTGAATGCCCTGTAAGTATATTGGGTCGGGTGTTTAGATAAATTTGATATCCTTTTCCTGTTCTGATCGCGTTTCGCGTGAGATAAAAATGCCTCCTTCTTTCTTTGGTTCTAAGCTGTTTGTTTGTGTAGGGGAACCTCTTTCACTCTTGTCTAGTTTAACTCTATCGTTCAGGATGTCACCTGCCCGAGTTTTGTGCCCCGTTTGCTTAGTGGTATTGTTACTTATGTTTTTGTGAATTTTCTTTTTCTTGATGTGTGGTTTTTTTTGTGTGATGTTTTCATGTTTTATTTATTTATTCAGTGAGATTGCCCAGCTTGTTCGGGCATCTTTTTTCCCAAGGATATTGCATCGTCTCCTGACGTGCCGCCGGTGATCCTCTACGGAGCGGAGGCGCGTCGTCCTCCGATGGGTCGTGGAGATGGGGGTGTTGGTGTGGTTGAATTGGGGTCCCTGCCCTAAGTGGGAACATCTCGGATTCTCGGGTCCGAATTTTACGTGGTCGTGGTAGGGGTGTGCCGCATCGTAGGTGAGTTTTTTAATTTTCTAAATATAATTTTATGCAGTTCGCGTGCGTACGCAGTGTTTGTCGGCCGCGTTTTATCGTATAGTTTTCATTGCCATGTTTTTCAACTATTTCGTAGAGTCCTACCCACATTGCGTCTAACTTCTTTGATCTTCCCCGTCGTATTGTTTCATCATGTAATAGTACTTGGTCTCCTACGTCAAGTGCAGTTCCCTTAGCTGTTCGATCGTAATATTTTTTATTTCTTGCATTTTCTTCCTTAACGTGCTCCCGAACTATTTCGTTATTGATTCGTTGCTCGGAGCCGTTGTTTTTTTTCCTGCGCATAATCGTCGATGCTATATGTGATTTTTGGCGTTGTTAATATAGATGATGATATAGTTGCCTGATACCCGTATACCAGTATCAAATGGTGTATATTTCGTTGTAGTGTGCGGAATTGTATTATATGTAAAAATTGCGTATGGGATCCATTCATCCCAGTTTGTTTGGTCGTTGTTTACATAGTGTTGAAGGTATTCCGCGAGTGTTCTATGCGATCTTTTTAACGCTCCATTGCTCTGTGGATGGTACGCGGTGGTTTGAATTTTTTCTATTCTTAATAATTTGCATACCGTTTTGAATATTTTACTAAGGAAGTTTGTTCCTTGATCTGTTAATACTTTTTCTGGTATCCTATATTCCAGTACTATATTTCCGGTAAATGCTTTCGCGATGGTTGTCGCCTCTTTAGGTATTGGGATAGCTTTACTGAATTTAGTTAAATTATCCTGGAATGTTAGGATGTACTTATTTCCTTTTGTTGTTAATGTGAGCGGTCCTACTATGTCTAGAGCGCATTTTTCGAACGGCTTAGTAGGTGTGTCAGTGATTATCATCGGCGACTTTTTTTGTAGGTTTAATTTATTTTTCTGGCATAGTTCACATTTTTTAATGTACTGTGTTACATCTTCTGTTATTCCTTTCCAATCATGGTTCATACATATTCTTTTTAAGGTGCGTTGTATTCCTTGATGCCCTCCTAATGGTGCATCGTGATATTCGTAGAGTATTCGTTTTTTTTCTCTCTGTATAGTTTTGCTTGTCTTATGCTTGTTTGTATTATTTTCCTCTTTTTTTTCTTCTTCTTTTTCCTCTTCTTCTTCCTCTTCTTCTTCCTTTATTTCTTTTTCTGATTTGTTCGTTTCCTCTGTCTCCTGTGGAGTGTTAGCTTGCAGTACTGATACTGGGGGGTATCTACTTAACGCATCTGCGTTTACGTTCGTCTTCCCTGCTTTGTGGACTATTTCATAGTCTTATTCCTCTAATTTCAACCTCCATCTTATTAGTCTGGATCCAGGATCTGTAACATTGAATAGCCAGACTAGTGGTTTATGATCTGTTACGATTTTGAATTTGGTTCCGTAGATATAATGTCTGAAGTGTTTTACGGCCCAAACTATCGCTAACAATTCTTTTTCAGTTGTTTTATAATTTTGTTCCGCGCGTGATAATACGCGGCTCGCATAGGCTATCGGGTTGTCTGCTCCTACTCGGCCTTGCGATAGTATGGCTCCGATTGCATGGTCGGACGCATCAGTTGTGACCACGAATTCCTCTTCGAAATCCGGATATGTTAATACCACCGGTGCGGTGGTCAGTTTTTTCTTTAACTTATCAAACGCCACTTGTTGTTCTTTATTCCATTCGAACTTTTCATTCTTTTTGGTTAATTTAGTTAATGGTCGTGCAATTTTTGAAAAATTATCGATGAATCTTCTGTAATATCCTGCGTGCCCTATAAATGATTGTATGTCTTTGGTTTTTGTGGGTTTCGGGAAATTTGTTATTGCTTCTATCTTTTTTGGATCGGGCAGGATTCCCCTTTCCGAAATTATATGCTCTAAATAGGTAACTTCCTTCCTAAGGAACTCACATTTGTTTGGTTGAAGCCTTAGATTACATTGCCATATTCGCTGTAGTACACTAACAAGTTTTTTGTTATGATCTTTTAGGCTATTTCCATATATGACTATGTCGTCTAAATATACTAGACATTTTAGCCCTTGTAGTCTCGTTAGGACTGTATTCATGAGTCATTGAAAAGTGGCTGGCGCATTTTTCAATCCGAAGGGCATTTTATTGAACTCCTAGTGCCTCGTGGATGTTGAAAAAGCTGTTTTACGTTTATCTTTTTCTGCCATTTCTATTTGATGGTATCCAGCCGCAAGGTCCAGTGTAGAAAAATATTTCGTGTTTCCTAGTTGATATAGGATCTCATTGATATTGGGTAGTGGAAAGGAATCCCCAATAGTTAAATCGTTTAATTTTCGGAAATCCACTACGATTCGTAATTTTGTTTCTCCTGACACATCCGTGTTTTTCGGTACTATCAATAATAGTGCGTTCCACTGACTATTGCTGGCTCTTATTATTTTGTTATCGAGCATTTCTCGTATTTGTTTATTTACCTCTTTTTTATGCTGCTCTGGCAGGCGATATGGTCGCACGTTTACCGGCGCGACGTTACTTCGCGTGGTAATTTGATGTTTTGACCGCAGTATGCGTGAGGCTGTCTCCTTCGAGGAAGAATACGTCATTGTATTCCTCGCAAACTTCGCGTATTAATTTTTTCTCTTCTATATTTAGATGCTCCAACCTTAATTGCTAGTTCAGTATTTCCGTTCGTGCTAGCAGTTTATTATTTCGGCTTGTAGTGAATACGTTTATCTTTGCGATGTCGTATTCTGGAGTATCCTCTAGTATTACGTAAGGTGTGGCTATTTCGACAATGTTGTCGGTAGTATTGATTACTATTGCCGGACATGTATAGTTGTCAGGTTCCATTAGACAACTTCCAATAAAAATTCCCTGCGAAATTTCCTCAACTGGGATTATTCCCACTCGATTTATGTTCACCGCGGCGCGTATTATTACTTCACTGCGCGCGGGGAGGTTGTACATTTGCTGTGGTATTAGCGGTAGACTTTGTCCGGAAACCGTCATTGTTCTTGTTTTATAGTCAAATTTAGCGCGATGTTTGCGAAGGAAATCTATTCCTAAAATCCCCTCGTGTTCGATTGGAAAATCATCCTGTACAGTTCAAATTTTCGGCGCTGTTTTCCTATGTTGACTGTAGCGATTATTTTTCCTATAGTATAGGCTTTATGTCCAGTGATACCAGTTAGTGTCAATTTTTCCGCAGTTATAGGGGTATCATCGTCTAGTGTTCGTATCTTTACGAGACTAATGGCGGATCCCGTGTCAACGAGAAAAGGTATTCTCTCTTGTTTCCCCTCCTTTATCGGCAAGATTACTAGGTCAAATCCGGTGCGACTATGTAAATTTCGCCGGATCTGGTTTACGCGGTAGTCGCGCGACTTTGTTTCTTTTTGTTTCTTTCCTCCGGGTCGTGGGTGAACCTAGCGCACCCGTTTCCGCGAGATGTCAATGGTTTATTTGTATCTAGCGCGGTGATAGTCACTGGGCGCGCGTATCTTCGGCGGTCGCTCGCGGTGTCTGGTGTCCCGGTAGGCTTCCCGTGTATGTGCCAACAGTCATCGCGAGTGTGCTTGTTTTTCTTGCAGTGCAAGCAATGCTTATCCGCGGAGTTTATTCGAGTCCGCGTTTTGGGTTTCGGTAATAAGAACCGATTTGCATATCGGCTTGACCGACATTCGTGTCCGAAGTGTCCTACTTTTCCGCATTTGGAGCAGTTGATGACTTTGTCATTTCTTGCGTATGTTAAAGGTTTTGATCTTACGGGGGGTTTTACGTTTCCCTGTACCCGTTCTTCTGAACTGACGGCGGAAATCGCCTCGTGCAAAGTATTATAGTTTTGTGATCGTACTACTGTTTTTATGTCATCATGTAATCCTATCTGATAATTTTGGAGAGCCTGTGCTTGAATCGTTTCCAGTATTGTTCGTTTCTGGTCGTTTG